GTCACAATCTGGCTGCGACCCTCACAGTTTGCTTAATGGATTTTGCCCTCCTGATTGCTCTGTCCAGTGGATGCTTTTCAATCCTTATCTTACTAGGCTCCCCAGCTCATTTTATTCTATTGACATCTCTCTCATTCTTAGAAAACTTTCTTTCCTTTTTCAGGTTGCTTTCCTGTGTCTTTCATTAGCTTTCTTCTTCAATCTGCTTGTTAGTTCTAGTTTTCATCAACCTTCTGGGTAAACTCATTTTCCCTATGGCTTCAACTACCAACCATCACTTCCCTGCTGGGTACTCCTTAATTTGCACCTGCAGCCCTCACTCCGCGCTAGGCTTCAGAGGTCTCCCGAAAGTCTCTAATTGAATGTTCCAGACATTTCAAACGGAACATGTCCAAATCAGAATTCACTATTTTCCCTTTACATGTGTTATTTCTCCAGAATTTCCTCTCCATCTTCTTACTTACGAAAACTATAAACCTGGAAGTCACTTGAAACTATCTCCTCTCCCTCATTCCACGTATACAATTGAGCAATCACTAAAGTCTCTTAATTTAACCTTGGAAATTGGTCTTAAGTCTACTCCTTTCTTTTCATCTTGACTTATTTAATCTATTTTCTCATTATTTTTCACTTGGATTACGACATTAGCCTCCTCACTCTTTTGCTTGTAAATAGTTTTTTCTTTTCATTATTTAATCTACAGTCTTAACACTTTGCTTAAGACTTTTTTGATGCTCCCCTAACCTGCCAAATTCTTTCAGAGCACAAAGGTTTAAAACTTGTTTCCTCTGCCTGGAATACTCTGCTACTGCACCTAGGCATGGTTTGCTCCCTCATTGCATTCAGGTTTTTGCTCTTAACCTAAAGTTAATATACGTTTAGATTTCTTTTTGTCTCCTTCAGTAGAAAGGTCTGTCTTTTTCGCGACTATATCAACAGTGACTAGAAGAATGGGCACTTAATAAATATTTGCTGAGTGAATGAATGAATGAATTAATTAATTAATGAATAATTGTATCTGAAATAGCACATTCAAACTGTTCTGGGAAATAATGGCCTATTTATTTGCTTTCTGTGGACTGTCACCAACAAATGAGCGAATGAATTAATGAATAATTGTATCTGAAATAGCACATTCACACTGTTCTGGGAAATAATGGCCTATTTATTTGCTTTCTGTGGACTGTCACCAACAAATGAGCTTCTCAAGATCACTGAATGCTTCTTTGCTCGTTTTCCAGGTTTTAATCACAATGGTGCCTGACACCTGGTGTTGCTCAGTAAATGTTGCTTGGAAAATAGAAAACAAAAAACTCTTAACCTACCTTCTAGCAAAGTAGCTGAAACTCAGGAAAAACAAACAAACAAAAACTAATGTCTATTATTAGAATCAGATTTACAGAATATTTTATCATTGCCAACATCTCATTACTCTCTCCTTTTGGCAAAGGAATGGAAATCAAAATGTTAGTTTTAAATGTGACCTTTACTGTTTTCTAGTCTAACCTGTATTTTTTCCATCTTTCATGCAGAGGAAAAAATTGAGGCCTAAAGAGGTTATGTGACTTGCCCAAATATAACCAGGTGGAGAATCGGATATCATATCAGTGGCATCAATGATGGTAGAAATCTTGGGGATGTCTATTACTTGACAAATAGAATACAATTCTGGGACCGGAGAGGCAGTTCTTGTACATGTACTACAATGTATGTGACTGGCTTGAATCTACTCTCTCACTTAGATTCCTTGTGGACCCACCAAACTCTCTGGAAGAACCCCACATTATTCTTGATTATTTAAAGAGCTTGTGCAGGCCCAGAGCTTTCTGCTACAGCTTCAATACCATTCCATAGGATCTTTAAGGAATGGCCTATGATGAAATGAAGTCATGTTTGGGAATTTGATTGCTATCTTGATTGGCTTCTATTACTCCTTACTGGATTTATGATTTATTTGATATTTAGGTGATATATCTAAATTTAGTTGTTACCTACTCAGCTGGGACATAGCACTTCATTATTTCTCTTTTTGGTTCTTTTGTCATAATGCATTGAAACTGCAGGATCCAGTCTTCTGAAGTGTGGTTACTGCACTGTATTTCTTCATCATTAAACCACAATTCTTATCTCTTTATACAAGAGTGGCTCTTTCTCCTTTGGTTATGTAGTTAATGACACTGGTGTGTATATTATCTGTTACAAATTGCTACTATTTATGCTACTAATGGCTACAGATCTGTCACCTAACTGATGGCTTCTATTTGCCTCTTGGAGAACAAGTATTTGCGAAGCATATGGTTATAGTTGATTAATCTCTTTTTATATCAGTTGTACCTTAGCAGGTTAATAAAATTGTTATGTGTATCAAATAAATAGGTTCGACTTTTATCACACACACTTTTTATATAATATAGTTTTTAATCATCTAACTTTCAAGTTTAAAATAAAAGCAGTTATATGCCTAAACGTGAAAGAGAAAAAGTGTTCCCAAGAACTTTATAGTACATATATCTCAGAGATGAAACCTGTACAAGATAAAAAAGTATGCATATTAAAAATTTATAGAAGGATCTAATGAAGATTTTGATCTATAATTTTGTATTACTTTCATTTATTTCTCAGAACCCCAGGATACTCTAAAAACATGCCCTTACAAACGTATACTGCTTCTTTATCTTCATCACTATTATCTTTTATGCAATGGGGTAGTCCTTAGAGAGCATTAATTGCTAGCTATCTCTTAGCTACTTAAAGGCAATCTTGGAACAATTACCATGTATTTATGGGAAGGAGACATTCATTTATTTATTGCCTTTCTCCTAATAATCCCATTGCACTTGAATCACAGTGATAACAGTTTAAATATGCCCACTCATCTTTTTGGGAATTATTCCTTTCTCTAATCCCACCACCCATCTTGGCAGCACCATACCACTCTTACAAGTAAAAACTGTAATGGTGATTGCAACTCAAAAGCATACTGAATCTATTCTTTCTCAATCATTTTTATTATAACAGAAATGGGATTTTATTTTCTTTCATTTAATTTTTTTTTTTAAGAAATGAATGATACAAATTTGGCTAAGTAGAGGACAACAGTCTCTTTTTAAAAAATTTTATTTATTGAAATATAAATGATTGTACATATCTGTGGGGTATAGCATTGATTGTCCATAACTGTGCAATATGTGATGCTCAAATCAGGATAATTAGTATATTCAACATTACACAATGTAATCATTTTTTGTGTAAATGGTATCATTTTTTGTGTAAATGGTCTCATTTTTAGAAGAGACTGTTAGACCTGGTAGAATAGCTAACTATGACCCACAAAGAATGCTAAATGCATTATACATTTGCAAACTTAATTTTTAGCCTTCTTATGGAGTAGAGGTTATTTCAGTCTCATTTTATAGATGTAGAAGTAAAGAATAGAGATGTTAAATAATTTACCCATAGATGCGTAAGTCTTAACAGGCATGAGCAGAATTCAAATTGGGGTCCGTTTGTTTGGTTATCTAACAAACCATCCAAAATTTAGTGCTTAAAACAACAACCATTTTATTATCTCATGAGTTTATGGGTGGACGGAACTGAGTTAGGTAGTTTATTTTCTCCATAAGATGTTGACCACAGCTGCAGCCATCTGGTGGGGGTGGGGGTAAAGTTCTAACTTCTGAGATGGTTCACTTACAAGGAAGGCATTCAGTGCCTTCTACTGGGAGCTCAGATGGGACTATTGACTGGTGTCTCTAAGTTCTTCTCTTTGCAGTACTGCATGTGGCCTTACCAGATAGACTACATTCATTGAGCATAGATGCTGGGTTCCAGGAAGGAGTGTTGCAAGAGGACAAGCTCCATTGTGCAAACATGTAAGATGCTTCCACTTGTATTACACTTGTTAATGTCCTATTGGCTAAGACTAGTCACCAGGACAAGCCCATAGTTAAGGTGCGAGAGAACTATGCAATGTCATAAATACTGAAAGGCCCTATGAAGGCCACTAAAGTAACAGCCCACCAAAACACCTGTCATCAAAAGCACTCTTTTCTGTTCTCCAAATCTCATGGCTATCAGTAATCTGCTCCCCTTGGGTAGCATGTTGGACAATGCCTTGTGGGAAAGATTTAGCAGTTTCAGACACAGAGTCAACTACATGTTTTAGTAAGCTTTTACACTTTCTTCCTTCCAAATATTACATAAAATTTCAATTTCATTTGTATGGTTTTAAAATAAATTTCAGTTTTATGAAAGAAAAATGTCTCTCAGGGATTTAAATTATTTTTAATAAAATTTTTAATGTCATTCTGCATTGGGTTTTATATATTATAATTCATTAGTGAACGAAATAAGGAGAAATATTGTTATATTTTATACACTATCATTATTCAAATAAAATAAAATAAAAGTGAATATATAGCAATCTATTTCTTAGATTATATGACTAATTTTGGGTTTTTTAAAAACTTTCCTTCAAAGAAATGGCTTTGATCCCATTACTTATGTAAAAGCAGGATTTTTCTCTCAGAAATTGTGATGCTTTTCTTAATTTTATACAATTTATAATAATTTATTTTTAATGTCACTTATGTAGATGGGTTCCTTATAGAACTTTTTGCTTAAAATTTTTATAGCATTCAAAGCATTCTATATTTTTATATAAAATTTATTTCTAAATAGAAGTATTTTATGTTAATGACCCAAAATATTGAAACTATTTCTTCCATTGATATTGACATTTAGAAAAAAATATATAACCCTTTACTCTTGATTCATTACTTCAAGTAAAATTAGCAATGATTTACAGGTAATACCATTTCAAAGCTGTTTGGTAACCAATGCAAACTCTGATAATGTCATAGCCTAGTAAGTATCACGACTCTGAGAAATGATATCAGAAGATGATATATGAGTTATGTTATCCCTTTAATGACTGTGGTGTTGTTATTATACTTTTTTTTCCTTCTTAATAAACAGAATAAAGAAAACCAGTGACTTACTTTTTGTGACAACACCTTCTAGGCGAATGATATTTGGGTGGTCAAACTGACCCATGATACTAGCTTCTCTGAGAAAATCTCTTCTTTGCCGATCCATGTGGCCACCTTTCAAAGTTTTAATGGCAACTGGGATCTCTCTTTTCCCTGGGGTCTTCAAACGCCCACTGCAGACTTCTCCAAATTCACCTTAAAACATAAACAAAAACCATTATTTGCTTAAACAGAATACTTACATTTCGGAAGAATAAAATCATCATACAGTACCATCCTGTTTTTATTTTAACGTAATGATTATCAAGTCCGTTATTTTCAGATGAAGATTTCTTTCTTAAAATTAAGTTTGTGAGGACAATATGCTTGATCAGCAGCATTTATGATGAATAACGGAATGCATTTTCATATGCTTTACCACAGGAACTATCATCGATAGATTTCTCTGATCTATTGAGAAATTATGACTAGCAGAAGGGGTGATGCTAATGTAATTTTACAGAGAAGGAATAACTGCATAACACTTCCTATTTCTGTTCTCAATTCTGATATATGAGCCAAATGCCTGCTCTATTCAGGGAATCCATCAGGCATGTGCAGTTAATTTGATCCCCTAGGCCGTATGCCTGGGTCTCACTGACCATTAGAAATCAACATTAGGATCAATTGGTGTATGAACATATTGAAAAAACCATACTGAACTCAAATGTAATAAATGATTATACAGGCCAAATTATGAGCCACGTGGATAGAAACACAAATACAGTAAGATGAGTTATGGTTCAGCACTTTCTCTATTGGGTAGGTTAAATGATAACAAAATATTTGTCAAGCATTTACTACATATATACCTAGTGCTAGAGTTCGATGAGTTTCAAAGAAATATAGAACTTGGTCTCTGTTCTTAGAAGCTTATAGTCTGGCAGGATAATTTAGATGACCATAAATAAAACACATAAGAAGTTAAGAACCGATTCCTGTAAAGGCTGTATTTGTTAAGAACAGTGGGGGCTGGGAGACTTCCTGGAGGAGTTGGAACTTATCCTGGACCTTGAATGAAGGGCAGGATTTGGATATTCAAGAGGAGTGACATTCAACACAGGGGTGCATGAAAAGAGTGAGGGAGGTGAAGACAAAGATGCAAAGGTCAGAAACAGTAAAAGAATGATGTGGACACAGGGCAGCAAGGAGATGGGGGTGGTATCGTGGGTTGGAAGGTCATAGGCTTTCTCAGTGCAATGCGATAAATTCAGCAAGGCTTGAAATTCCATTCTTAATTCTTCTAGAGACAATTACCTGCATCTATATATTTATTTTTAATTACCTGAATTTATTTAAGAGCATAATGTTTGATCCCCAATTAATTCATCTATAAAGTCACGATGATAAAACCTTCCATACTTCTATAATATCATTTTGTGCAAGGATATTGAGAAAATCAAAGTGAAAATACATGGGAAAGGGCTTATAAATTGTAAAGTGCAATTCATAAAGTGGTTTAAGTTAGCTAAATCTTTGGAAGGGTGAATAAATGGAAATTAAAATATCTTCAGTTGGTTTGTTAGCAACTCTGGTCAACTGTTAGACGCAATATGAGTTAAATGTAGAGAATCAAATTAAAATTTTGCAGTAACACAGATTTCAATTATCCATTCTATGTTTGAACCACTTTATCATAGTCAACTAAATGCTGACTATTCATGAATATTTAATTCCCTTTTGGTGTAGGTACTAAGATGTTTTTTAAGTAAAAAAGAGAATAGCTTGGAAGAAAACAAGACAAAACTTTGCTTCCTAAGAAAGATGTGTATAAATGTTCATTACAAATGAAAGCAGTCTAACAAGAAAGTTTGTTCTATATGTAAAACAAATAAACAAAAAAAACAAGCAAACAAAAAATACTGACTAGACTGTGGTCCCTAGAAAATTCAGTGAATATGATATTGGGGTTTTACAAATCCTGCATAAATTTGGCATCAAAGACAGGAATAACTTTTTTACTTAATGACACTCTGAACCTGTTGGAGGATAGATGTTCTTATTTCTCAGGAAAAAGAAGCTGTAGTTTTTCAGTTCTGTTTGCAGTTTTTCCAAAGATTTTCTCTTGTGCATAAAAAAATAACAATTGACAAAAATTTTCATCATTTTTCTGTTAAGGCCATGACCCTCAAGAGAAAAGGTGTATGTGTTTAGACTAATGCCTGATAGAGGCCTATTAAGATACTTGAAATTCATCCTCAGATCACTGTGGTCTGTTCTAATGGGTATCTAGGACAAAACATACTTTTCTTGTTTTCTTCTTTGCCTTAATAAATTAGCTAGTATGTATAAAGATTCAGCAATATTTTAAAACCCCTCACCTTCCATCAGCCCATATAGTGTAATGTGATTTTTCTGTTCACATTTCATAGGAATTCACATAAACTTTTGAATATAATGAAATGAACGAGAACTCTGTTAGTATTTTATCAAGACAGACATAGTAGTAATTTTCTTCGGTTTTCTGTTGTCTGAAATTCATATATCTTATTAGCACCAGGCAGGTGTTTTCTTCATGTCAAGCTTTACATCAAGCTGTTATCACACTTATTTCAGTGGCACTAAATATAGTTGCCTCAATTAAAGATACAAGACTCCCAGTGCATTTTTTAGGCAAAGTTCAAAAAGCTCAGTCACAGAATTTATTTAAACTTTTCCGCAGTAAGCCTGGATATATCAGATATATCCGACTGATTGGAAAAAAATATTTTATATTAAATGCATAATTTCAGATATTGCCATAATATCTGAAATGATGGATTCATTACGTGATTGTCCTTGTAAGAAAAGTGGAGGTCCTGTATATAACCATAAATAGGAGAAGTCATTCCTCAATAAGATCTGTGAACATTTATATATATTAGTTAGTGGATAATTAACTCATTAACTATAGGAATATGGTGTTAACTACTTTTTTTTCTTTTTCAATATACAATTGCAATCATTATTACAAAGCTAGGATTTATATAGTGCTTATCATGTGCATTAAGATCTAAGAACTTAATGTATATTTTAATCTTTACAAGTAAACTTTGAGGTAGGTACTGGTATTATCCTATTTTATAGAAGAGGAAACTGAGGCACATGAGCTAAGTAACTTGTCCACAGTGGCACAAATAGAAAATGGTAGAGCTGTCATTTGAACCCAGTCTGCCTGGCTCCAGAGTCCACGTTTGTAACCACTGTTCTCTGCTGTCCGGGCTGTTTATCATTGTTAATATTTTCTTATGTTACTATTCTAAATTTCCGATTGGTAACAATGGTATCTTCAAACCACCTATTGTAAAGTGTTCAAACACACCAGCTGGGTATGAACAGATGGATAAAATGACAAAACCATATCCTAGGAATCCTTCACTATTAAATAGAAATGGAGATCTAGATCAAATATGTTATATGTTAGATGGTCTGGAAAAATCACTTTGGTCTATCTAGTTTCAAGAGAGCAAGGAAAATTATATCTAGGATAATTGATCTTCTGCCTCTGACAGCCCATTCACCAGCTAACAACCCCATTTATCTCCCCGGGTGTTGGCAAAACCTTTATGGACAAGCAATTTTGTTCTATAATATACAGGATCATATTAAAACATCAATTAGTATTGGATTTTCCACATAAAGCCTGTATAATTGAGCTAAAACTGTGAGAGGAGGGTGGGAGTGGTGAGGGACAATCCATCTTGGAGGACTGTTGTAGCATGATCAGTTGGAGGCTTTCCAAAATTTTACTTCCCACATTCTGAGATTCTGGTACTCCCCCGCCTCCAACCCCTGAGAGTCACTGAAGCAAAGAGACATGATACTGATGGAATTTCCTCATGTCTGTCAGCTGTGATCAGATGTTTCTTTCCTCACACCCACCATTTCCCTGTGACAGGAATGTCTCCCTTCCTCCTCTTGTCCACCTTCTTTCTCTATGTGGATGGCTCCTGATGAGACAGGCCAAGCTTTGATGTCCCTCCTTCAGAAAACATTCCTTGACTGACTCATCTAATTTAGCCTCGTACCACCAACAGGTCCTTCTAATTGCAAAAGAAAAAAAATAGCAGCCTCTGACATTTGGAAGCTGGCCTGGCTCTCATGGAGAGGCTATTTTATTTTCCTATTGGATATAATACCCATCTCAGACAAGACTACTCTGAGACCATGATAAAATGAGACAGAGCAGGGCCCCTTCATAATTTTGTCTAAGCCCAGACAAAGGAAAGGTCACTGTGCCACCCAAAATACCAAACATCCCCTGTTTCTTGACTAAACTGAGTGCTACTTTAAAAAAAAAATAACAATTATAGTTTTATTCTCATTCTAGTTTCCTCTCCCTTTAGGATCTATGGTGTAAGTCTAAAATTAAGACCGAATATTATGGCTTCTGTGGTAGCTGGGAGAACCTGGGAGGGAGTCAAATAGCCCTACTGCCAGCTCCCCTCCTCACTCTGCTCCTGCTGATAAGGTCTTGGAGCCAAATAACCCTCCTTATCAAACAGACCAGGTGTAGTTCCTCCTCATCCCTGACTAAAAGGTTTCAGTTCCCTGCCAGCCTATGGAATGGTTCAAGCCAATTACATTCACCTGTAGGAATCAGGGGATATTCCACTCTTGATGCTACAAAGCCTGTTTCCCACACTTATGTTTGCTTACTCTGTTCCCAAGTATAATCCTGTGTATCCCTGAAAGTTGTATGTGGTGTCTTCCTCCTCCAGGCTATGAGTGTATGAGATTAATAAATATGTGTCAATTTCATCCCTCTAATGTAGAGCATTGTGTGTTTGGCCATCCCAATAACCCTAGGGCTGGAGTGGTTCTTCACCAACAGAGTGAAGAGGAGTGAGTTAAAACAGATATCCAGGGGGTGACATCAGCAAGATGGTGGAAAAGCAATCACCTGCTCATATCTCTCTGCAACAAGATCTGTACCTACTCATGGAAGATATTCTCCTTGTGGGAGCCTTTGTATTCAGGTAGGGGACTGTGAAACCCTGGTGGAGCCCAAGATCTAGGAGGTTGTTTTGAGAATACAGACTTGCACCCAGGTGGCAGACCCATCAACTGTGCATCTTGGCTTCAGATCCAGAAACAACTGCATTCTCCACAATGCTTGGTTACAGCCCATTTGGCCTTGAGACTGCTTCAAAATCCATACACCAAGGGGCCACTAA